TAAGACCTTAGAATTCCATCACTAGGGGTACTTCTGGTGCCTCTTGGAGATCCCCTTGTCATCTCATCTGGGATCCTCTCCTCAGGCGACAACTCTTCTGAGCCTTCGCCTCTATAATTGGGATCCACTGCCGTCTTCCTGGTTCTGGCCATTGTGTCATGCACAGACACGGAGACGGTCGGATTGGGAGATGAACAAGAAAGATTCCAATGCCCAGAGGCGACACCCCCAGTCCTAGACTCAGCCGTACTGAGGGACCGATTGGTCTCAAAGCTATGTTCCGGGTGTGGGTATAAAGGGTCCATATACTTATGGAACTAATAAAGAAAAAAGCAAGAAAGAAGCACAAACGTAAATACATGGAAGAGCTAAAAATAACAAAGGCGGTACCTAAGTAAATTGAGAAGGAGAGAAAATCGCTTGACCAAGCTGGAAAATCTTCAAATGGCTTGCAAAGACACAGGCGTCCTCGTAGCCGGATGTGTTCTCTAAGTAGCAGCTGCAAATTTGTGAAGCTGTTCACAACACCCACAGACGGTAGGAAATTCTTTGAAGGAAGCGAAAAACCGGATGTGCACTCGGAAAATTTCTAGAGGAATTTGCTCGCAAAACCGGCTGCTCTCAAAATCTTTGAAATGGCTTAAGGTTGTAAATGTGAACATGGGGGAGGAGGTTTGCTATTTATAGGCAATCCTCAGAAGGCGAACCGTCGCGCCTTTTCGCCTTCTGCTTCTTCAACTTCAAAATTTCTGAGGGCAAATTTGGAATCCAAAAAAAACAAAAAAAACAAAAAAAAAAGAGGAAGAGAGAGAACCGTCTCAGGCGCCACGTGGCACCGCCACGTCAGCACCTGAGAGAGGCAAATGTTTAGGGTAAAAATCACCCTAGACACGTGGCCTAGTGGCCTTGCGACACGTGGCAGCCATCCATAGGTCACCAGGGCGCCAATCCCCTGTTGACACGTGTCCTTTGAACCCTAGATAGGGTACTGGTCTCCCCACTATAAATAGTGGGTCAGACCTCATTTATTGGGCATCCATAAATACAAACACAAACCCCGAGCAATATTAATTGCAGAATCCTCCTGTATTAGCGAGGAGTAATTACTATTTCCGCACTTATTACCTCCTGTACGTTACTGACTTGATCGTCAGAGGCAGAGCTCCCATCAACCGGAGTCTTCGTGGTTTTGCAGGTACAGGCGTCGGTTGCACATACTAGGAATTGTAACTCTCCCGAAGGACACATCAAAAATCCCCGAAACACAATCTTAAGCCACGAAAATTACCCCTATTTATAGACATAGGAGACAACTAATTCTACTCCTACAAGGATTAGGACAAACCCCTAACCTTATTCTCCAAGCATCCTAACTAGAATAGAATAACTACTTCTAACTAGAATAAGAAAACTTATCCTAATCAAACTCTAATTAACCAACTAAAAACTTTCCTAATAACCTTAGGAAGTTTACAACAACTAAATAACAAAAATTTAATCTTATCCTAAGTGCTTAAACCAAGAAAAACCCTTTCAAGTGAAAGGTAAAAACTTGCAAACAAAAACTCTAGAAAAAACTAAGTAAAACAAGAAATCATCCGTTTCATCCCGGAGCCTTCACGACTCACATACACCGAGACTAATCACACGCGCCGGCCCATGTTGTAGCTAGACTCAAGGTGGTTGTGGGAAGGTGGCGTGTGGCCCTTGGGGTGGCACGTGGCAGTCACAATAGCCGCCGAAAATCGAACAATTTAAGAACAACGAACCGGATATGATTTTCACCACCTCAGATTTAGAATCATTGACCTCAGGTTACTACAATTCAATAAATAAATCTTCATCAAGCTTACAACCTTACAACATTAAATCTTACAACTAAACATAACTGCTTAAACCTTACTATAACAAATCTTAGCTTACTACTCGAACTCAAAGGATAAACATTACTAATTATGGTTTCCGAGTGTCCACTGTAACTTTCACTTGCTGGTCTCGATTCGGGACGGTGTTCGTAATCATTTTCCGAGTATCCACTGTAACTTTCACTTGCTGGTCTCGATTCGGGATGGTATTCGTAATCATTTTCCGACATTGATTCGTGATCATTTTCTTTTTTTTGTTTACTCTTGTTCTTCCCTTTAGACCCCTTAGCTACCTGAAAACTTCCACCGACCCTGCTCACCATCACATAATAATCACCAACACTTCAACTAAAATTCAGTAGATATCAATTCATGACAGAGAAAATAGCAGCAACAATCAACTATAAAGTACTCAATGAATTGATGGAACATAGGATGGTACTCTTATATAAAATAAAAAGTTCCAATTCACACAAAAATACCCCAAAATCAAGTAAAGTACAAGTTGACAAAGAGGGTAATTAAATTTAAAAGGCATACAAATACAAGTTACACCAAGTCACCAACACTAAACATTGACCCACGATTTATAAAAGATAAGAGCAATTAGGAAATTAATTATTGCACCACATGTATGATAAAGTATCTCTCGCATAAACTTTCATGCAATAAGCTCCACAAATTTAATCAACTTCAACAACAGAGTTCTATGATCTAAGCATGCTTCTCCCTACTTAAAATTGAATTTAGATCATACAAAGTAATTACAGAATCTACCAAGTTCAGACAGGTTCCTAATACAGCAACCGAGTAGGTTAAAAGGTAGAACAGTAGTGTAGTCGAATTTTAGGAAAACATATGCAGGAAATCTTCAATTTTATAGGATTTAAAGGTAGGTAGGGAGGGGAAAGGAGAATGCATATTATCATGTCATCAGATTTTCTATCCTTGAAAGTAGGTAAGAAGTAACCTTATAATTGGTTCACATATAGCTAAAAAAAGGTTCTATAGACTCAGTTATGTGCTTATGTCACTTAATAATAGGGCACCAAGAAAACCTTTCTTACTCTCCTTTTCAGGAAAGCAACCCTTCAATTGTTTACGTACAACTTAAAAATAAGTCCTAAAGACTCAGCTCTGTCACTAATGTGGCATAGAGAAAGTCTTTCTTACTGCCTTTTCCCTCAGTTCATAAGAAAGAGGTTGGTCAGAAGAAAGTTGGATATTCAAGAGGTTCGCAAAAACATATGTGAATTCCATGCTAGCCATAATGGATTCACCATATAACACAACACCCTTACAACGTTTCCTTAGCCCCTTACAAGGCTACAAACCTCATTAATCACAATTCCAAACAATAACGAAGCAAACTCAATAGAATAATGACATGCAAATAAACTCCTACAAAAATATTAAGTCACTTGACGATGAAGTTAATAAACGAGTCTAGAAAAACATTGCTAACGCGACACAACATACACATACCCAATAAAGTAACTAACCCCAGCCTCAAATCCTTAGATTTTGAAGCATATCATTAATATCAATGTCACCAAACTCCAAGTCTGAACAAAAGCCGTTACCTTTAGAGGCTACTCTGTAAGATAGCATAAAGGCTATTTCCTTATCTATCCAAATTGTAACGACCTTTTCTACTTTGAAATAAATACAAAAACAATTTAAAAGGCCTTATGATGCAGCCCATTATAGTCTAAACCACAAAGATAGTAAAGAGTCAACTCCACAAGAACTTCCAACTATTAAACAAATGACCTCACTCTCTGATGTATAAATAACATTTTCAAACATAATTACTCCCATCATAAGCATTTATTTATTAATCTTACTCACAAGCATCTTCAAAGGACCCATTAGCTCATCACAACAAAACTTCACTATTGCAAATAAGAGCTTTACACAATGAAGACATGTCATCAAGGGAAAGCTAGTATCTTAGTACAGTATCACCAAGAGAGGACATATTTCAAGAACCACATGCAATAAAGAGCTACAAAGATAATTAAGATACACCTTGAATACTTTAGCATGTTGAACATTGTTTAGTCCATAATGGCATCATGACCAACAAGAATTATCATCAAGTTAGATAGTGGCAGCAATAACATTTCAGACGTTTGCAATATTAGTGTATACGGTTGCAGGTTCCTAATACAACAAAGCTTAGTACACAAAAGCCAAACTACCTTAAATTCATCTACAGTACAGTTCTTCTAATTTCAAAATCATAATTCAACTAAATTATTCGCAAAATTTGACTACATTTAACAAGATTTAAACTAATATATAGTCAAATTCGGCTACATTCGAGTATATTCAGTAAATTTAACTAAATTCGACTCTAACACAACTAATTCAATGTCAAATTCAACTACCATGCATACCTTTTAATTGACAACCCTAAAACCACAAATTCGTAACAATCAAGTAACCCATAAACCACAAATTTGCATAACTAACACAATAGGCAAATTATCTACTGTAAACCCTATCAAATCAGACCAAAAACACTTTCAACCCTAGCATGCAATTTACTTCATTAAAACCAAGTTCGCGATAATTAGGACTCCAAATAACCCGCTAATCATAAATTGCCATTTACCAAACCATAATTCACATACTTCAGACCATAATTCGCGAAAAAAATCAAAAATTTGAAAATCCTTTACCTCGTCTGCGCTTTATTATCATTCCAATCTTCAAAGCCACATACAAGGACCAAACTTCAATTTTGGGGAAGATGGGATTCTTGAAGAAAGTTGTGGGATTTGTTGAAGAAAGCAGTGGGATTTGTTGAACAACACTCGGGGGAACAGGAGTAGTATAGAGGAGATAGAACAAAGCGGGAAATCAAATAGAACTTGGGGAAGAAGAATGGGAAACACAAAATTAAACGGGTACATTATCTTTCATATGTGTATCGTTATATGTAGGCTGTGTTGAAATACAATAATAAATAGTGCGAATGACTACATTAACCCTGGCTGGCCAAAGACACCACTACACGTTGTTGGGCTGAGTCAAAGCTCCGAGATACGTTAGCTACCCTAGTTATTACATACGAAGTAAGGGATATTAGAATTTTGCAGTCAAATTGCACTCAAATTAAACAAAGGCCCTAAAATAAGCGAACAATTGTTTTGCCTTTTAACTCCAAAAGAGAAACTTTATTGAAAGTCTATTTCACGCCTTCACTATATCCTGCTCCGATCCACAGCCGCGCAGCCGCACTGCCGCACCACTGCACCGCCACAACGCTGCACCTCCGACCGTCGCTCCACCACTGCTCTATCCGGTTAGGCTTTCGAACTTCTTCTCTGCTGCAATAATTTGGATCGAATTATTCAATTTAAGCAGTTTTGAATTAATCGATTTGTTCAATCAAACTGTACAAATAATTCAATCGTTTTATTCAGTCGATTGTAGTCGTAATTTAATTGATTTATTCAATCTTTTTGTTTAATTAAATTGTTTTATTCAATCAATTTATTCAATCTTTTTATCCAATTTAATCGTTTTATTCATTCGATTGTAGTAATAATTCAATTGTTTAATTCAGTCGCTTATAATTTGGGGAAATTGATTTGGGAGCCAAACAACAATGGATTGGGGAAGCGTAACAGCGGAGGATCTGATGGACGCTTTGAGAGAAGTTGATTGGTCGTCTCCACCCCGACCATTTTCTGAATTTTTTTCCAGATTTACCCTTCCTCGCTCTTATGCCAAATGGAACAGCCGCCTCAAATGCAATCTTTACTAGTATGTTTTCTTCTTGTTTCTAATTTATTTATGCAATCTTTACTAGTATGTTTTCTTCTTGTTTCTAATTAATTTTACTTTGATTTTTGAACTAGATTTTATGTTATTAGTACTTTCTATCTATTTGGTAGTAATGGATTTTCGTAAGGAGTAAAGCCCTTTGTGTGTGGTTTTTGGATTCGCTTAAATTTCAGTGAAATTGTTTGCTCAGTATTTTTATTGTGTTATTTCAATGATAATGGAGGAGTCATGATTCATGAAGTAGAGAAGTATTCCTGTTTTGGGTTTGATTCCGAGTAGTTTTATTTAGTTGTGGAGAAACTAGCTTTTACATAGGTAATCCATTTTCTTTTGCTCCATCCATCTTGTAATACTTCCTCCCTTGCTAAATACTTCGTATTGCAGTATTTATTGTTCACCGTTTGAATGTACTAGTTTGACCATGAATATCTTTAATTGTGTGTTAATTAAAAAAAAAAATTATAAGTCAATATTGTGATTGGACATTAAGATATCCCTTGAATTTATTTTCTGTTATATAATAGTGAAGTTTGATCTAAATGAGATATGTTGCAACTCTTTTGTAATGGAAGTAGTGTGGCTGCATTGCAAAGTGTAGGCTTTACACTGTGTTTGGATTTTAGGAAATGGAAGGTAAAGGAAGAGAAGAGTAAGGGATAAGGACAATCACTCTTGTTTGGGTAAAAGATTAGAGGAAGGAAGGGGAAAGGGAAGGAAAGGGAGAGGGAGTAATCCATTTTCCCTTTCTCTTAAATAAGCATAATCCCTCAAAAATTGGAAAGATTTGGAGGGAAAATGGAGCTCACCTTTTCTCTCCCCTCCCCTCTTGCTCTTTCCTTCCCCTTCCTTTCCTTCCTTCTTTGCTATTTAAACAAAGCATTATAGTGTGTTTGGATAAAGAAAGGGGAAGAAAAAGAAGGGGAGGGAAGAATGAAGAGTCTTCCTTCCAATATCTCCATTGTTGGAGAGGTCAATTTCTTACGATTTAATCCATCCATTCCCCCCCCCCCCGCGCTTGCAATCCCCTTCCTTCCTTATTTATATCCAAATGAAAGGTACTCCATCCCTCCATTTCTATTCCCTTCCCTTCCTTCCTTTCCATCCTTTTCCTTCAATCTAAGCATAGTTTTACGGTGTGTTTGGATAGATAATTTGGAAGGAAAAGAAGGGGAGGGGAGAAAGATGAGTTTTCATACCAAATTTCGCCATTATCGGAGAGATCAATTTCTTATAATTTAATCCCTCCATTTCTCTCCCCTCTAATCCTCTTCCTTCCTCATTTGTATCTAAATAAAAGATACTCCATTCCTTCCATCTAAACATAGTTTTACAATTTGCTTGGATAGATAATTAGGAAGAAGAAGAAGGGAAGGGAGAGGGAGAGGAAGGGGAGGCGATGGAAGAAAGATAAAGTTTCTTTTGAAATCTCTCAATTGTTGGAGAAATCAATTTCTTACAATTTAATCTTCTATTTTTCTACCCTCTAAATTACTTCTTTCCTCATTTGTTATCCAAATGAAGATACTCTATCCTTCCATTTCCCTTCTCTTCCTTTCCCTCTATTTCCTCCAATCCAAACAATGTGTTAGTGTTTTTAAAATATTTGTAATAAGCAAGTAATATCTTACGTATCAAATGATACAATAAAGGTAATTAAAAACTTTGATTGTATGAAATTGAGGGCGTACTTGTTGTGAGAGGGCGGACAGTCATAAAATATTTGCTTGGAGAAGTCATATAAAATATGAATAAAATCAGACACAAGAATCTCACATAAAATCCTTCCCAAGAATATGGGGAAGAGGGAAAGAAACTTTATTATTGAAAATTGTTTGGTAGTACAACGATAGCCCCATAACAACTATAATTAGTACAATACGTGATCTAGTAAATATCTCTAACCAATTGTAATTGCCTCAAAAGACACTTCTCAAACACAAATTATTGTTTGGTCGTTAACTTAGACACTCTCAATTTGATAACGACTTCTTGTATATGCACACTTCCTCATTTTTTTGGATACTCTTTCACAATTCCTACCCATGATTGTCAATTTTTTGATAGTTAATATTGATAAGTTGTAATTGTTAGCTCTTAATTTATTCTAGGATGTGATAGTCCTATACTTATATTTTATTAGTTCATAAAGTTCTACATATTAGCTCATAAGCAGTGCATTTTTAAGTATGTTAGAAGTAGGTACCCTTTTTTTTTTTTAAATGCTACACTTGCCTTATTCGGTTGTTTTTTTTTTTCTATAAATGACATACATCCTCTTCTAGAAATCCCTTACGTTTTAATAATATAACTTTACCCACCAATAGTCCCCTCTCTCTCTTACTTTATCATTTCTCATTCCTTCAATGGTTTCTTCTCCCTCTCACACTCCTTTACTTTTAAATAATATAATAACTCCACTTTCTTTTTGATACAATTTTTTTTTTTTTAATTATCCTACCTATCCCACTAACATATTATTTTATTAAAGTCAATAAAATCTCCTAAAACTTCATGCATTCACAACTTTAGCATTAAAAAAAGCGGAGGGAGTACTTTTAATGAATATTTTTTTTTAGGTTTACCAAAGACGAGGTAGCATGTTGGAAAAATGTTGATTAACAAAATTATGACTTCAATAGCTAATATATGCAAAGCACTAGGATCTCTCTTTTTTATGAAGTTAGTGAAAAGGAAAATATTCTATTATGTTTGGAAGGACTAGAACAATTCAAGTTATGGGAATTAGAATTTGAAAGTTATATCACATTCATTTGACTCTCAATGTGGTTTGGAGATCATTCCTTTCGTGTTCACTCTCCAACTTTTTTCAGAGTCACAAGGCATGAGATTGCGTACGTGACGTCTTAAATCGAATTCATTATCCATATACACAAGAAGTAATTATACTTTGTTGCACATTTTTTCTCAACGTTTAAGGGGTGGGTGAAGCTGGTGCTCATGATGATATGGCATGGATGAATTATTATGGGCATGTAATTTATACCTTTATATAGAATATATGGTGGCCAAAGGCTATGTTACTCAGACTCTTTATTTCACCTCCTAGGTAAGATCCTTTGACACTTAATTTTACTTGGATAAGTACCTGTATCGGATATTGGTACCCGAGTCCAAGGTACATTGGCTGCAAGTGTTAAGGGTTGAGTATGTGCTAAAAAGTTTGTGGTAAACAATAATCAGTAACAATGAAGAACGAAAAACAAACAAGCAACTAAACAAGATTTTACCTTGGGAATCTAGTGTTGAGAGAAAACCCACCAATCCACTATGGAGTATACCTTGATGATGAGCTCTCAATACACCTTGAATGCTCACACCTCTCTCTCTCTCTCTTATAGCCTATGAGTAATTTCATGAGGCTTTTCTTTCTTTCTTTCTTTCTTTCAACTTCTCATCATAATCTAATTATGGAATAACATGAGTATGTATAGCTCTAGACATAAGAAACGATCCTATGGACAAATAATAAGTCAGGTCACTTATTCACTTACCCGCAAAACAGAGCGCAAACCCACTCGAAGGCCAGCTTAATGTCCATGCACATGCTGCATGCGCAGACTCCTATGTTGCATGCGTGTAGCTCTCATCTCCTTTGAGCCAATCCACTAATGCATCAATTTTTGCATCTTGTTGCGCATGTGCACTTCTCATGCGCTGCAACACCTTCTCTTCCATGCTCGTTGCTTCAATGCCTTTTCTATATCTAGAAAATGATAAAGAAGAGGAATTCAGTTTCTTGGTACATTCTAATGGTGGCAATAAGTTTTACTAGAAGAATTTCAGCGTTACATGTAGCAGTAGCATTTTTTAGCAGCAAGAAGTATTGAACAATCACATATTACTTAACTGTTCCTTACAGAACCTTATGGCATATCGTTGGCCTTTTCACTACTTTTGCTTTTCTGCATCTTTCTGTATTTATATATTTTATATTCTTCTTGTGCTTGAATGCCTTAATCCCATAAGTGTGGTCGGCTACATGAACCAACATGAGGACTTCCTTGGAGGTCATCCATCCTAATACTACTCTCAATCATTGTGGCTCATGTAAAGCAATGTGACAAAGTTTTACATTGGCTATCAGTGGCCTAATGTAACCCTCTTCCTTTATCCAGGGACTGGCAACAGGAAGCCCACTGGCGGAGTTCATTTATAAATTTTATATTATAATAATATAATATAATTGCTGTCTCTGTACATGTGTCCATATCTCGGAGATAGTCCCTATGTCCTGATGTTTAGGAATTGCTTTATTTGAAGCTAGGTGGATTGAATTGTTTGGACCTAAAAATTGTTATTAATTAACTCTAAATTCAAACATGTTGGGCCTTTTTTCAAATTAAAAAAATACTTGGGTAAGATAATAGATGTTGCCGATGTTGATTATTGTTTTAATTTTGTGTTAAACAGCTATCGTACAAACTACTTTATCATGGTTATCTTCATTCTTGGTGAGTATTTAAATTGAGTTTTCTATCTAAGAAAGACTTATTTGCTAAAACTGTTCATGCTTTGCTATTCCTTCATTTAATTTATGCATTTTGACCAAATTTGCAGGCCTGGGTTTTCTCAGGAGACCGCTTGCAATTTTTGCTGCTGCCTTAACAGCACTCACCATTGCTTTCCTGAATGACAGGTTTGCTCATGTAGTCATTTCTCTTCGTATGGAATAGTTATCACATTATTTGCTAGAACCACTGTATCCCTTTAGCTGTTAAATGCCGTAGAAGCTGTACAAGTATTATCTAGTCAATTATGAGGAGATATCTTTTATTACGTTGTTATCAAAGTAAATTTACTTTAATCCTTTTCATGTAACAAGTTACATATCACCTACTCTTTTCATTTTTCATATTTGGTAACTAGTCTTTTCCAGCAGTTTTTTTGTGTTTTTTTTTTATTCATTTATTTTTGTATGTATTTTTTGTCAACGTATTTTGGAAAGAATTACTATTTGAAGCTCGGCCTTGAAAAGATGGGTGCCCCTTTGAAATTGCGAATGTTGTATTTGTCTTTTATTCATTCTTTATTGTATTGGACTTTTTTAATAGCAGTTTAGCAAATTACATTCTTTCTGGCATCATCATTTGAGGATAGCAAGCTAACAGAGCTCTGTCCCCTAGGGTCATTATTAATTATTTTTTTTTTTCTCTTAATTTGGCTGAAGTGATTTTCCTCTTAAGCTGTGTTCTTGTTCTCACTTGGCTATTAGTCAGTATTAGAATGCAGATTGATGTTTTCATTTGTATTGGATTACCTAATCCCTTTTTTTACCTTCTCAAAATAACTCACATAACATGTTAGTACACATGTCTCTTCTTTTCTCTGGTTTTGACATCCGTGTAATATGTATTTTGTTGGCAATACTATTTTTTGTAGCTTTGCTGGTACGTTTAGTGAGAAGGTAACAAGGAATGTGAGGCGGTTTTCTCCACACATGGCTGCAAAAATGAGGCCTCCACTTACGTATGTCACTTCACCTTGTAGTAATTCCAGTCAAACCTGTCTCTGTGTCTCTTACAAACAATTTGAATGCACCAGGCCTGTCATCCGAGGACGTCCTTCAGCCAAGAGGGCAATATATATTTGTGGACGGCCTCGTTGGGTGTTTGTGTTGATTTTCTCTTCGGGTAAGTCCATGCTTTAACATCCGTTCCTGTTCCAAGGTAATTAATATAGACATGCTAATATGTTCAATCATCTTGTTTTAGTGAGTTTTTTTCTTTGGTTTGCTTCTTGTGGTCTTCTCACTGTTCTATGGGCATTTGCAATTGGACTTCTCGGTAAATGATTCTCTCTTACTGTATTTTTTCATCTTGGATTTCTATTTAACAATTTCATTGCCTTGAAAAAATGACTCCAATGTTTTCCATCAGCCACTCTCCTTCATGCAAGCTTTAGGACTCCGAACTTGAAAGCACGCTTAAATACATTCCGAGAAGAATTTCGCGCAGTTTGGCGAAACTATAGTGAGCTGTAGTTTTTCAAGCTGTACATAATGTAAGTATATTTATGTTTCTTGCTTGACTCTGCTGGGTTTTTCAAAAGTACCATCGGTTGTTTAAGCAGTTTAAGTTCCTGTATGTGATAAATCTATTCTTTTTTATAGTTTTTATCCAAGTTGACTTTTCATATATTCTAGAACAGAAGATAAGTCAATTGATAGGGGAGCAATGGAACTGTGCATTAAAATTGTTTGGATATAATTGATACTTTTAAGTATTATGAACATACCAAAACAGAGAGGACAATCATTGTGAATTAAATTGGAGCAGTTTTATCCTTTCTAACACTTTGGTTTCCAATTGTGGAGGATAAAGGGTAGGGAGGGAAACAGAGGCAATAGAAAGGTTGGTGAGTGGATAGAAAAATTGAGTGCCCATTTTCCATCCAAATCTTTCCAACAATGGAGTGATTTAGTTTCTTAATTAAAAGAGGAAGAAGGATCCCTTACCGCTTTAGTTCTTAAAAGAGGAAGATGGATCCCGTACCGCGCGTTTTAACCAAATAAGGGAAAATGTATCCCTTACTTTCCCTTCCCTTCCTTTTCCTCCAAATTTTCCTATCCAAAATTAGTGTAAATGTAGGATGGTGACAATGAAAAGGCTAGCTACTGTAATGATCAGATTTATTCCTGTAACTGATGGTTATCAATAGGAGATTGGGAGTGGACTCTAATTCCTTGGTCCTTCACTACGCAGTGCTTTACCAGGTTGGGTTAATCCTTACTAAGGGAGAAAAGTTTGCAAAACTAATGACTTAATGAAATAGGAATGGAAACAAATGTACATACTACCTCCGTTTCATATAATTTGCAACGATTTGACATAAAGTGTGAGTAGGAAATTTCTAATCGTTGTAAATTATATGTAATGGAGGGAGTATATAAAGTCATGTCATGTCATAACTATTACTTTATATATTTTTTTTCCTCCACTCCCATTCCACCACTTTTTCCTTAATCCCCAACAGTATCACATAGTATAATACTCATAATATGTAGTCACTCTTCTTAAAATTTTGTTAGGTTTTCCTTACCCCTTAATCCCAATAATTAGACAAGTTTCATACTAAGCTTGTCACTTGATCTCCGGGCTTACATGGCAAAACCACCTTCCTCACCTCAACAATAGGCATTACCTCTAATTTCTTCCTACTAGTAATGATTTCATTCCTCAATGGATTCTTTCATGTATGGCCTTACATCCAATGTAGCTTATATCTCTATCGTATTTAAAAAACAAATATGATAATGTTGCACACCCAACTTTTCATACCATATAATAGTGTTGTGAGGTAGAATATTCCCATCAATCTATGGGGCGTGCTTAGATCACATAAAAGTATAAAATCCTTATAGCACCCTTCTACTTCTATCAATTTACTTCTATTCTATGAGATATTTCCATCCTATTTCCTATACTTTTGAATAATAGATCATAGATAGAGGAAGAAATTTGGACCTTGTAAAACCCTCCCATCTCACGTTTCTGTCCTTGCTTGTAGCTTACCAAATAGTTCTTATTTTTGCCTAACCTAAATTTTTGATATTCCAAGTTTGTCTCCACAATTCAACCTTACACTTCTCGCTTTCTTTTGTCTCATACATATTTTCCGTAATTGAACTTGTCAATCTGTGCATTATTTTGGCAAAAAGAAAAGGGCTAAATGTAGAACCTTGGTTTACTCTTATTTTAATAAAGAATTCTTTTGGTTTCCCAACACTAGTTTAGTTCACACATCGTGCTAGCTCTCACGTCTTTCTTTGTTAGTCAAATCAATATATTTATGTGAATTGTCTTTTCCTGTTAAAACTCATTTAAGTACTTTCTTCATGTACCTTCTTGAGATCAATAAAAACCATGTATATACCATCTTTCTTTTCTCGATAGTTCTCCATTAGTTGTCTCCTATGATCAGTGTATAAAAAGACTAGGCGATTAGAGTAGAATGCCTTTTTAGCTCTAGGCGAGGGGCATTCAAAGAGGCGTACTTAACTACTTAAGGTGCACGAGGCACAACTGAGGTGCACATAAGCAAATTCCTTTAATTGTTTTATATTGTGTGCCTCACTTCAAAGAGTTTGAAGTGCATTGAGCCTAGGCGCAGCAGGACCTTCGTCGCCTAGAGCTTTTTTACACATTCCTAAGATGAACTGCCTTCATAGTTGATCTTTTTAGAATAAAGCCAATTTGGTTCTCCTTAAATTTTAAGCTTCTCAACATTTGTTAAATCACTTGCTCTAAAAGTTTCATAGCATGACTCATTAGTTTGATCCCTCAGACGTTGCTATTGTTCTTATCCAAAACTTTTATAGTATGACTCATCAAGATGCTATTCCCCCCATGACATCTTATTACTTTTTCAAAGTGTCGTCCGTTCGATTCCACTCATTCTCAAACATTTTCAAACCTTAAGAATGTTGCCATCCCTTGCTTTTCTTTTGAATTCTTCAATCCTATTTTTTTTTTTTTTCCCCTTTATCCTTGTTGACTGCTCCCTTTAAATTCTTCACACTTGGACAACAACTTTCAAGATATCTCCACTACATTATAAATATACTTCCAAACAATGAGAATATCCATTCCATTCTTACACCTATCCTTTTGGAGAGTACCAAAGCTTGTATCTAACCAACTTGGTCCTCGAGACACAGTATGTTTGATTCTTCTCCTCTCCATAATTCCTACTAATTCTATTGAACTTTCCATTTAAGAACCGATATTCCATGTCCCAATATGCGTCCTAGTACCCTTACTATAACAATGGACTAGCTCTCTTACCTGCATTTGTCTATCATATGGGAAGCCTTACATATATGACAACAGCCCTGGCTCTGAGATGGTGCAGTCTCTAAGGGCGTCAATCTTGCTGCCCTTACACATTTTCCACTACCCTTGGGTGGGTAGAGTAGCACATTGATGAGAAGTGGACGTTCCAATGGTATCCAAATATTAACTAATGTTTTACGGTAGCTAATACACTGCAAGTCTCCTTTATTCGGGCTCGTGATTAAAGTGACACTCAGCTGCTGGAGTTTCAGCTACAATGACAGAAAATTGTTGGCTTGAACTTGAGTGCTGGATATGAGCAGCTCAACTATTGGCTTCGGTATGAAGTATCAACTCTGTAGTTGCAGAAGATACAAATTGGAGTAAATTTTAAACTTACCCTAGTGTTGTTTGTGCAGATGCATATAGTGGAGAATGGAGATATTTGATTATCTGAAATTTGTTGAAGAGATAATCTTATTTGATGCTTCAAATGTTTTTAAATATAGTTGCCTGAGTAAATAAAAATACTTGAATATTTAAGATTGTCACATTTATTCTTTTGGGGAGGGACATTCTCAAAATGCTTTCTAAATCTTAAGCACTTTTCAAATGGTTTTGAATTGACTCATTGGTTGTTTTGATATAGAAAATATTAAGGCATGTGGTGTTCATGCATTTCATGTACATAATTATGATTGATGCTTCAGATCTATGATATTTAAATTAACCCCTAAATTTAACACACTTTGATAAAATAACTCTTTATGACCTTAGATTTCTGAGGAATGATGTATCGTTTACAATATAGCGCGTGATTTGATTGAATGTTTTGGTAACATTTTTTTATTGTGTTATAGGTTCACAGCATTGATTGAGAGGCTGACCTTTGTCTTAAAAGTTGACATCCAGCGGTGGCCGCAACAAATATCTCAGTTTGCTGGAAACTGAAGGTCGTAATACATCTTTAAAAGCCTTCGGCAGATAACTTGTGGGATTGTAAATTTTCATTTCTGTCATTTTTTTGTTAAAGCACAAGCAATGTTGTATAAGCATGCACGGTTTAGTGGTTTATACTTAACTAGTACTTCGTATGCTTTATGTCTGCGTAACTCAAATTGGGTTATACATTATTTTATACATTGCCCCTGCCTCCTGATGCTCTTTCCCAAAGGAAAGAAAAGGTGAAATTCCTTAGTATCTTTAACTTTATACTTGTATAATTGTAGTTAATCTAGTAAGATTCTAGGTTATATTCCAGATTATAAAATAAAAATTGATGGCATGATTGTACTTGGTGCCTCGTACACGGATATGGCTGTATCATTATGGTAGTGTCATTTAAGGATTTTCTACGATTACACACTTACACATTGCTTTGTCCCATAATTTTTTGCAAAAATTTGACTTGACATGTTCACAAATGCAGAACTAGGGGGTGCTAACAAGCCGAGCTGAGACCGAGCTTAGGGTTCAGTCTCAGCTTGAACTCGACTTCGGTGAGCTAAGGCAAGCCTAAAAATTGGCGTTTTAAATCCCTAGATGCAAGTTTGGCTCGGGAATCGAGGCTCGTTCATAAGATGTTGAGTATAGTCTAGTCACAAATATGCTTGTTTTTAGGGCTGAAAGTTCAGTGTTTGATTTAAATTATGGTCCAAACCAAAATAATTTGGTTTTGGATTTTTCAATCCAAATTCAAATTGGATTTAGATTTGGTCCAAATCTAAGTAAACCGATTTTTGATAAGTAAATCGGATTTAATCCAGCAGAACCAATTTTTGAAAAGCAAATTGGATTCAATACAAATACCGAATTTTGTTTTACCTAATAAAATAAAACTATGCACACTACATAATGAAAATGACAAATAACAAGATCCAAATCGGCAAATAATCATAAATTTATAGAATCAATTATTATGAGGCTTAAATTTGGCCACCAATAATCTCAAAATTAATAGATCTACAAGTTACATACAAAAATTCAAATTCAGTTGTTCTATTGTGCTTCCTTGCATATACCTTTGGCTGATCAAGAGCTTGTACCTAGGGGTGAAAGTTCGGTTTGCGGTGTGGTTTATAGCCCAAACCGAAACCAAACCACATTTATTCGGTTTTGGGATTTTTCAAACCACACCGCACCATATTACTATTGAAACCGAACCAAACCACACCCTTTTAAATTCGATTTCAAAAGAAAACCGAACCACACCGAAATTTTTCATCCTCTTCCTTTTTGCTCCATCTAACTGGTCATTCACTCAAAGATCGCCCATATTGGTTGACATTCTAGGACATAAAAAAAACACAAGTTCTATTATTTTTTGACTTCATATATGTAGGGTAGAAATTAGTATTGGGCTAGGCTATAATTTGGATATGGACTATAATTCAGTTTGGATTTCGATTTTTGGTTTTACAAATCTTAAAACATAAACCAAACCATATTATTTCGGTTTTGGGATTCCTCAAACCGCACTGAACCATATTAGAAAAAAACCGCACTACATTTCAAATTCGGTTTGGTTTGCAGTTTGGTTCGATTTTAAACCGCATTAGTTTTACCCCTACTTGTACCCCTTTGTAGATTGTTGAAATTATTTCTAAGGTCCCTTGATATCATTTATGTATGACTTGAATTTACACCAATTAAAGTATGAGTACCAAATTGATAAAATCAGATTTCATCATTTTTCAATTGTATCGCATGTAAACAAAGGTTCGTAGCGTAATTAGGGATAAGGATTGAGAAATAAACTTGAATTCTGATGAAAGGAAAGGGAAAAGATGAAATCAAATGAGAGAGGAGGAAAGATGATAGCAGATGAGGTAGAAAGGTGGTTGATGAGTTATGAGCTTTAGGATTTTTAGGATTTCTAATTTTTATTTACAAAGGGAAACTAAGATCAGTTATGCCTTTAAAATTGGGCCTAGTTTACAAATCAGGCATGCATATATTTATATAGCATATTCTAGTTTGATTTGGTTTTTTTTTCAGTTTTGAGAAGCCCAAAATCGAAGCCAAACCCGAAAACCAAATTTTAATTTTTTTTCCAATCCGATCCGAACCGAATTACTAATTTTGTTTATTTTTTGACTCGTTATGGTTTTAATCCAAATTACTTTCACCCTTAATTGTTTTCATCAAATCATCCCTTTTCCAACCTGCATACACTCATAATTATATCAATTTTATCAAAATTTGTATGTTAGGTTAAGATGAACTTTAATTTGAGGCAACCCTAATTGATTTATTTCATCAACATAATTTGAAGTAGCTCTAGCTGTTAACTCCACTAGCTCATCATCTTCTTCCTCTTATCCCTACCACCTTCATCATCTTCTTCAAGCCCCTTTAAATTCACCAACAATAACACCTACATGAACAGTTCGAACACCACCATTGCTGCCACCGAAATTAAACAAAACCATATAAAAAAAAACAAAAAATAAAGGGTATGGTTAAACTTAAAAGGTAGGTTTATCATCCGCTTAGATTTTTTCAACAAGAATCTTCATTTCTGCATCCATCTTTTCCAGTTGATGTGTAGTAGGTTTTAGGTTTCTTGGATTTTCTTGCTAGTGGCTAACTCCATTGTTAAGTTTTCCGTCAAGGAATTTTTCCATACTTGTATATGTTTAAAGAGAATTGGTTAAGCCATAAGTGTCAATGCAAAGGTCTCCCTTACGTCCGCATATTAGACAAATTCTTTTTAACAAAACCAGCAAGTAAGCCTTTGCAATCAGTTCTTACCAAGAACTATTTTGGAGGAGAGAAGATTAAGAACTTCTCGATCCCTCTAACGATTGCAAGGATTTCGTTTGGCATTATTGGATGGTTTAACTTAGCTATATTTAAACTTCCACCACAGTATATGGAAAGTCTTTCTTCTTTAATTTTCAATGTTAATTACTAGCATTTCTTTCAATGCTTAAATTATCCTCACTAGTAGGAAGTGTAAGTATAGAGATATTTTTACACATACCTTTTAAATCTTAAACAATTTCAGAATCACCTTTCTTTCGGTTTCAAATTACTTATTTCTTATACAACTGAAAATTTAATTACGTTTATGTATTTTATCATATTTATTTATTTATTATTATTATTATTATTATTATTTTTTTTTTTTTGATAGGATATTTCATAGAGGAGCAACACTTTTTAATTGCTTCAATATAGATTGTCTTAGTGCACAATCTATATAGCTTTTTAATTGTTTTAATATAGATTGTGTTAGTCAACGCTTTTTAATTGTTTTGTTGTAAAAGGTTTATAAGCTTTACATAATTGAGTTTTTAAACACACATACAGTTGAAAATTTAATTATGTTTATGTATTTTATCGTATTGATTTTTTATTTATTTATTTTTTGATAGGATATTTCATAGAGGAGCAACGCTTTTTAATTTCTTTAATATAGATTGTGTTAGTGTACGGTATGTACACACATACTCATCTCTTCCTAGGTAGTATTATTTATCTTGATAGTTTTATTTTATTGTCAGATAGCATCATAATATGTATGAGACGCATGTGTGGAGCATGTTAGGGTCCATGAGAGGGCTATATAAATTATTGTACTATGTGTATGATATGAGAATTATGTTTTCGTGCTCCATGAATTTTTCTGTATGCAAGTTAGAAAGCATGTTCAAATTTATATAAGCATAATTAACTTTTAATTCGCTTGTGAAATCTCGCTAATAAAAGTGAGTAAAGCAAGTAAAGTGAAGTGATTATTTTAATTATGTCTATATAGTATAAAGTATGACCATGATGTCACAGTTAAGTCAAGCATGATTCTTTGTATTAATCACATATTAAGTGGTTAAAGCAAAAAAATTATGGTAAGAGTCGTGCATGTGAACTAAGGGCCTGTTCTCTTTACTTTATTTTTGTTGAACCGAAATTATTTTTACTAAGCTGAAATTATTTTGCTGAACTGAACTTAAATTTACTAAATTGAATTTTTTTTTACTGAACTAAGTTTATTTTTACTTATTCTCTATTATATTTCACCTTAAAGTTATTTAGTTTTACTAAAATAAAATTATTTTTACAAGTCAAACTTTATTTTTGCTGAACATAAATTAGTCAAACTGAATATATTTTTTTAGGTGAAAATAACTGAGCCTAAAAGTTATTCGAGATTAATTAATTAATAGGACATGAATGCATGATGCTTGTAATCGGATCCCTACAAGTATTAAGTACAGAGTAAGTTTAGTGTTTTAATACTTAGTCTACTAATTGTAGTGTGAGATGTTGCACTACTATAAGTTTAGTGGAATTTATAAGGTTTTTACTGTTATTTGGATGTAGGGAGTGCATCTTATTTTGGAAAGTTAGTCATTTTCCTATAGAAGCAGTGGGGTTTTCAAAGGACAATAAATATTGTTACCACGACTACCCATGATGGCTGATTCCAGTTCATCTCACCCATTTAAAGAAAGAAATAAAGAAAGAATCAATATAGAATCATAAAGTCAAAACAAGTGACATTTGCTTATAAATGCACGTTAATTATTGTTTAATGCACCATTTTGGATTTATTGAGTTTAATTCGTAAGTCAAAGCCGTAATTCATCCAAGTCATACCCCCATGTTTTACCCTCTTACGCAAAAGCCTAACCAGAATTCACAATTACAAACCCTGACATATAAATCAATATGATCAACACAGAATTACAAGCTTAAACTATAAATTTCACCATTTTCAAGCAGAATTCTAACAAAAACAACATGGTTTGCAAAAAAAAAAAAAAAAAAAAAAAAAAAAAAAAAAAACAATTATACAAACGTATTCTACCATAATTGAGTAAAAGAGAAACACAACACTTTCAATTTAAGAGAAAAGTGATAAGGGAATGGAATTTACCCTCAGCAACGTAGATTATTACAACTTTTGGAGAAAGTTCGCCTTCATGCCACATTAATTAATTGTCATCTTCAACAAGAAAGCTTGAACACTTTTTTTTTTTTAGGAATGTTTTTTTCTCATATGTAAATGTGAATGAAGCTTCTAAGAGAAGCTTCCCTTATGAAGCCTCTTAGCTTTCTCCCGCCAAAAGACATGATGGCTTTTCATCTACCAATGTAAGCTCTCATTGGCTCTTATTAGATACCTATGTCAGAATTAGATAATTAATGTATGAAAAACCCAGAGTTTAGGAAGGCTAATTAACCTGTAATAGCAAGTTGTCGCCCTCTGACCATCTGTCCAGTACCCTATTTGCAGCTTTTGTAAGTTTAGTGGTATAGAAACCTAAAAATGTCTCCCCA